TACAATTAGTTAGTTACATTCTATTGTGTCTCGAGGCAATTCTTCAACATCTTTTCAATGGCTAGATACGTGTAAATAATTGGTGTTACGAGATGTATACTTTTGGTTAATATTAGAAGTATACTTTTCTTATTGTTAGAAATGTTTGGTAAATTCTCTTTTATAATGAAGTGTGATCGTGAACTTTATGTCAAAGAGAGCAATTATATTATTTATTCATCTTTTCCAGTAATACTTATTCAACATTCACACATTCAGATAGGAGGTCTGCTAATCAATTTCAAAAATTAAAATAGAGGAAGGAATAACGATTGAATAAAATTAAAATAAGTTATTTGTATTTTGAGAATTGAATTGATTTGATTATTATTTATAATTTATAGTCATATATTAAGAACTGGTGGACATTTGAATTCAGACTATGTTGACCCATATACGTACATATATAAATTAGAGGACTATGAATGTGTTAAATTGATTTCAAGCATACTATAATAGTCATTATTAGTAAAGAAAGCGTGTAGCATTAAGAAAGATATAATGACTGATATGATAAACATAACACATGATCTTACGAAATTGTTTGTAGATAGATTTAATAGAGAAAATATCTAAACAGTAGATAATGCGATCTACGCGATAAAAAAACGTGTTAAGGAATAAACATATTATGAAGTAACTTATTGATTTAGTAACGTTAAAAAAATCGAATCATAATGGTCGATTAACAAATGTGCATAAATTACTTGTTATAAGAATAACAACAATAGTCTTAGTACCTATATTTAAGTTATTTATTTAATACTTATTATCGAAAATAATATTTCTATAAATTACGATTGTCAAAGAACGTGTATGAACTATTGATTAATTCCACAGATTACAAAAAGAAAAGAAGAGTAATGATGTTGTAGGTGTACTAGTAATAAATTCATAAATCATGACCTAATATTACTGTCAAACAAAACCTAAAATTTGATCTGAATCTTATTAGAAAGACTGAACTGAATTAAATGTGAAATTAAAAAACATTTATGGAAGGAATCTATTTTGAAAATTTTATTAACATATTTTCTTTAAGACACGAAAATTTATATATTGAAAATGTATATTTCCTATATATTGGTATGTATATTTTATATTTGCATATTGAAAATATATGTATATTGTAAAAGCAGAATAATAATATATAATTAATTTACAATTATATTTTGTATACGTTTGTATTAATATTATATATAATATAATATAATATAATTAATATTAATATTAATAATATATTATATATTATTAATTACATAATTAAGACTACTATTTATGCCCTATATGTACTTTATACATTTTTATCTTTATACATTTTTATACACTTTTATCTTCAAATTCCCCATAAATGTATAAAAATTCACATTCCATTCACAGGTACGTCTATCAGTTAAATTGATTTAGGTCGATGTTTTTATAGAAAGGGGACTGAACGAGCGGTCCCTTGACAATAAATCGTCAAACGTTTGCTTTTTATTAGAGATGAGGGTGTAACTTTAAGCTTAATCTGGGGCAATATGAACGCTTCCAGTGAGTGGCAACTGACAACAGTTTAACGATGATAGTGCTTCAAACGATCATCGATTTGAATCACAATTTTCTGCGAACGTCATATTCGAAGAAATTCATCGTTTCACGAGAAAGCAGCACTTTCTAATCCGTGGCAGGATTGTAAATTTGTTATTTGTTTGTACGTATATTGTGATTACATGAAAATATTTAGATAGTTATATTCGTGAAAATATGAATATAAATTATTTTACACTCGTCTAATCGTGAGCTATAATTTTTACTTTTTGCAACTTTACTAATTTTTGGAAAATTTTGAATATCTAGTAGTTTTCTAGTAAACTCTTATAAACCTTGGAGTACATAAAGATTTTGATAATAAT